CCAGCCAGACCCGCAGCTGCGTGGGGGTCTCAGCCCAGAAGCCCCGAGGGGAGGGGAGGGTGGGGCAGCCATGCAGCTCGTGGAGGAGGCTGAGGACGGGGGACTAGGACAGGGCAAGCGTGGGCTGTCACACGAGCCTGTGCTTGATCCGCAGGGAGCAGGAGTTGGGCAGGGAGAGGGGGCTGGTGCAGGCGTGCAATCACGGGAGGAGGCTGTAATCCTGGTCACACTGGAGGACCGGAGCACTGACACAAGCGTGCAGCCACTTTCAGAGGTGGATGAGCTCAAATCAACCCCAGGAGGAGGCATGGAGGCAGACCTGCAGAACTTGAGTGAGGCTGGCTCCCTGGATACAGAGCAGGGAGGGAGTGTGTCTCCAGATGTACAACTCCTGGATCAGGTCGATAAACCAGAGTTAGTGGAAATGGTGGAAGCAGAGGACTCCTGGGCAGACACGCAGCTGCCTGGGGGTGCCAGCCCAGAAACCCCCCAGGGAGGGGGGGACCGTGCAGCTGTACGTCTCAGAGAGGAGGCTGAGGAAGGGACACAAGGACAGAGTGAGCATGAGCGGCCACACAAGTCTGTGCTCGATCCGCAGGGAGCAGGAGTTGGGCAGGGAGAGGGGGCTGGTGCAGGCGTGCAATCACGGGAGGAGGCTGTAATCCTGGACACACTGGCGGACCAGAGCACTGATGCCAATGTGCAGTCGCTTATAGAGGCAGAGGAGCTCAAATCATCTTCGGGAGGGAGCACAGAGGCAGATCTGGCACCCCTGGGTGCAGCTGGGATGCAGGAAGGGCAGCAGAGCCAGACTCCTGGTTTGGAGGCAGGTCTGTGTGCAGCTCACACCGCAGACGGGTGGGAGGGGGCTGCTGGTGCGCATGTGTCCCCTCCGGCTGAGGCTGCTTTACATCCTGAGTGTGCCACTGCCGCTGAGGGTCCTGGTCTGGAAGCAATGCTGGGAGCACTCACTGGTCCAGATGGGCAGATCCCAGAGGATACCCAGACACTGGAAATACCGCAGGGAGAGAGGGCTGATGCAGAGGAGAGGCCTTTGGGTGGAGCTCAAGGTCTGGAAGTGATGCAGGGAGAGAGGCTGGAGGCAGGGGCGAGGATTTTAGTTGAAACTCAGAGTCTAGGGATAAAGCAGGGCCGTGATGACAGTGCGTCTGCGCTGGCCCCCCCGGTCTCGGAGGTGACATTACAAATCAGCACCCTAAAGCTGGAAACGATGATGCAGGAGGATGTTCTCGTTCCAGATGTGCGGCGGCTAGGCACTTCAGGACAGGCAGCCCAAAGCGAGCTTCAGGAGCAGGTCTCAGCACAGGCAGATAAGGTGAGGCTTCACGCTGCTTCCCAGCAGCCGCAGGAGAAGCTGCCACACATGATGGAAACGGAGCAGATAGCTGCCAGACCTGCCGAGCCTCCAAAACAAGAGGTGCCACCAGCGTCAACCCTTCACACAGGGGTCCAACAGGAGGAAGATGCTGGGAATGATCAGTCGGGGATGGTCCTCAGAGACAGCTCACTGGGGGATGCAGCCAACAGCAGCACGCGGCCTCAGAGGCAGCTCTTGGGAGAACAGAGTGAAGACCTCAATGTTGGTCAACAGGAGAAGCAAGAGGTTGGACAGAAAACGAGCCAGGAAGGTGAGCCCAGCCGAGGAGAGCCAGGGGCCGTGACTGCAGATGGGGCGGGAGAACCAAGGGGTTCTCCTGAATCCTTCCTGGTCCCAGACCACCTCTACAACGTGCTGTTCGTTGGGGACTCCCATGTGGGCAAAACATCATTCCTGTACCGGTTGCACACCGACATCTTCAACCCGCACCACACCACCACAGTAGGTAGGTCTCCTCCATCTCCGCTCCAGCACGGCTCTGCACCTGCTTGGGTGACCTTCACAGTTCCCTTTCCTCCACCCCACAAGCTGCTGGTGACCATTACATGCATGTTACAGCTCATGCCAAGCGTACTATGCAACCAAGGACCAAATAGGACCACCAACTTCACACGCCTGGATGCTCCTGAGCAGGCAATGCTGGTCCTCCTTGCCCTCTCTAGGGCACCAATACTAATGGCCCTAGCACTTTTCTCTCTGCTTTGCCTTTCAGCTATATTCTCCTCTCTTAACCAACCTGTTTTTACTCATCATGAGATTAGAGACCTTCCCAAAATCCAGCCATCAAAGACCTAAAAGCTGGAGGCTCACTTAGGACCAGCTCATTTGAGCTGCAGCCTCAGACCACACCTGCACCATGTGCCTTCTCCATCCGTCCTCTTTCACAGGGATAAACTCTACAGTATCAAAATACCCCTTTTTGTGTCTCCTAGGACTGGATTATTGGGTCAAAAACCTCGTCGTGGACAACAAGTGCTTTGCTCTCTGCCTGTGGGACTCAGCTGGTCAAGAAAGGTAAGGTGCTGTGCTGTCTGCTTAAGGAGAGCAACCTGTGGTTTTCTTTTTTTTTCTGGTAGTTTAGTGGAAATGAATGTTCTTGGCTTTGCTAAGCAAAGGAGGGGTTGTTTAAAAAGGGACTCTGTACTGTGTGTTATCTGATAAAAATAAAGGTAGTAATTAAGATAAAAATAAGCACTCAGGCTGTTTGTATGGCCTCCGTGATCACGACAGGAGCAAAATCCGAGTTTTGCCTTTCTTGTAGACATGTATTTCCAGCTTTCCCACTGGGATTTCAGATTGCTCCTAGGCGAAACCTCTTTAGACCTCCTCAGTGACCATTTAAAATGCACGCAGGTACCGCAGCATCACCAAGCAGTTCTTCCGGAAGGCGGACGGGGTCGTGCTGATGTACGATATCACATCGGAGTGCTCCTTCTCAGACGTGCGGTACTGGCTGAGTTGCATCCAGGTGGGTGAAGCAGGAAAACCTCATTCTGTCCCCGAGGTCTTGGAACTGGCGGTGACTCCGAGATCAGCATTTCCCCACCTGACCTCTGCCACCGGTTAGGGATGGACATCTGGGGGTGACCATGCCCTTTGTAAAGGGCATTCTGCTTTTCTTTGGTTAGAAAATATTTTTTCTTGGAGGATTTAAGTTCAGCTAGTGACAATTTTCACACTTTTGCAGTGTTTCCTGGGGTAATTTGTTGGCAGCATCGTTATGATTATGATCAACTTTTTTAAAATTAAAAACCGGTGCAGAGGAATGGAAAATGTTGGAAGTGATTTTGATAACACTTTTAAATCAAGAATGGTCTGCTTTGCGTCCTGGGAAATGGGAGGTAACTCGTGTCTCATTAAAAACTTCTTGTCAGAGATTTCCAGTCAAGTACAAAGTCGGTGTTTAAAAACGCTGGAACAAAATAGGGTGTCGCCTTGCTCAGTGCCTGTAAATCTCAGCCAGAGCATCTTCTGGAGGGTTCCTGAAGTCGAACACAAAGTGAATTCACTACAAGGGTAACTCACCCAGTGCTCTGCCCTGTTAATAGGCCAGGACAGACGGTTTAAGGGGGAAAAAAAATCCCTTTCTTAAGCGCTGTTAAACTCCTTTAAGAATTTAAGGTTTTGTTATCCCAAACCCGTGGGCATCCTTCACGGTGCTCCAGGATGTGTCTAGACAGCGTGGCCAGCTGGGATTCAAGGGAGATTCAGACACGCTCCTGATCCTCCCCTCTTTAATTGCCTCTTTAATTCAGCAAGGAGCAGAAGATGGAGTTGCTATTCTGCTTCTCGGGAACAAAACCGACCGTGCTGCAGAGAGACAGGTCCCTACGAAGGAGGGGGAACGCTTGGCCAAGGTAGGTGCACGGCCCTGCCAAAGCGTGCTGTCCACCCAAGTTAGGCAAGGACAGCTAAGGATGGATGCCACCCGCCTGAGGACCTGGAGAAAGGTGAAAGCCCTTAACTTACCTTTTGTGCATCGGTGCGCAGCAAGGTGATCTCTGAACCCATCTTTCACCCTTCCCTGCCTTGCTTTCCCCTTGCCATTTTAGTTTTGACTCAGCACGGCCCCAGTAAAACAGTTTATGGAACTGGATCTATAAATTAAAACATTTTCAGCTCTGCTTATCTTTGTTCTGAACTGTCATGTATCTTCCCAGCATCATATAAACAATAAAATCACCAAACCCCATCCTGTTTTAAAGATACTGAAATGCTTAAAGTACAATTAATCTCTTCAAATGTAGATGTAATAAAACTTAGGCGAGAAGAATCTCACCTTTACTGAGTTAATTTCAAAGTTTATGGGATTTGGGCCAGTATCCATTGACCAGTTTTATAAATAGGGACAGCAGGACAAGGGGTTGGATGCCTTCGCCCCCTGCCCCAAACCAGTCACGGACAGGCACAAAAGTCCCGGGAACACCTAGTTACCTCTCTGTATTCGCTCCGCTAACCAGAGGGCATCGCATCTCGTTTTGTCTGCAGTGTCAGCCTTTTCCTCGATACTAAATATTGGTGTCATAGCTACCAGAAAAGCTGGATTTCACCCTACATTCCAGTAAATAAGTTATTGAGTTACTTGTTTCCTTCAGTCCTTTTGTTTCCCCTTGACCCTTGGCTATTTACTCCCATATTAAGCTATTCCAACGCAAGAATATTACATTTCTGTTTGGGCTCTGTGTCTTCCAGGAGCATCAGCTCATGTTTTACGAATGCAGTGCTGCCTCAGGCCACAACGTCTCCGAGTCCATGGTCAGCTTAATCAGGTGAGGCATGTGCTTGGATTTTGACAGCTGTCCTGGATTTCATGGGCCCCCTCCTTGCTTTTTTAACTCCAAATGCTGGTGTGTTACCGTCACCAGAGACTCCATGTGCCCAAACGTCAGGGAAAACTCGGAGCAGCACGTGCACGGCTGGGATGAGCCGGAGATAAGTGCTGTAAGATGTCTCCTGAATAGTCAGCGTTGCAAGGAGATTAATAAAACCCTTTTCAGGATGCTGCTGATTTCCCCCTGGGTTGACTGAAATAAATTCTGTCTGTGGTTTGGTTTAGGTTGGTGCTTTTAGCAGAGTCCACGGTTCTCAAATCACGCTGAGCTGGAAGGCTCCTAATTCCTTTCAGCCATGCTGAGCCTCTTTACTGATGCTTGTCAAGACAAATAGCACAGCAATACAAAATATGGGGGGAAATACCTAGCTAATGTGCTTCCTTTTCTCCCAGGTTGCTCAAAGTTCGTGAAGATGAATTGAAAAATAAGGCAAAAGAAGTACTAAAGCCATCTCAGAAGAAGAAGGGCTGCTGCTGGTGACGGACAGACACACCCCCCCCCAACTGTGATCTGAAACCGCAGCGACAGCCAGAAAAGCACAAAAATAGTCCTCAGGCATCATCTCTGCTCCCTGTGTGTCTGCCTTACCTGATCTCCCTCAGATGCTGAGAGCAAAAGCCGCTGCAGAGGAGCCGGCTGTCACCCGGCCCCTTCCCCGCTCATCTGCTGCGACTATCCCAGAGCACACGAGCCCTCCAAAATACTTGTTGGGAAAATTTACCGCTTTCTTTTGGAGACAAAAAAACAGGCTAAGGAGAGAGGCAGAACAGGAACCCAGCGGGATCTGAGATGCTGGAACGATACTGGAAGCAGCAGGGAGTAAACCGAGTCTCGGTTTAAAAGGAATGAATACCAGGAGTCACCCGAAGGCCAGTGGGGTGTTTAGGGCCGTCGGTGCTGCGGTGCGGCGGTGACTTTTGCTCTGGCTTTGCAATCTGATTGGATTTGATCTGGAGCAATGAGATATGCAATATATCCTAAATGCACTTTGTAAGTCTCTCCGATTAGGTAAGGTAAAGCTAGTTTTTCTCTTTCCTGGTTTGTCGTGCCAGTGAGCCGTAATGGGTCTTGACAGAAAACTACTAAAAACTTTGCTCAAAATAAATTCAAAAGCCCCAAGAGCACGTCCAGGATAATAGAAAGAGCACTGGGGTGGTGGGATGGAG